GTATTGGGGAAAAACTGCTTCCAAACACAAGTTATACAGAAAACTGAAACACTATTCAAGTCAGACATTCGTTTCCCGTAAATCTCACGGATCCGGTGGAACCTAAACAAAAATGACTTTCACAAATGTTGAGCGAAAAACCACTGGCGTGGAATTGCAGTGCATCTATAGTCTCTTGAGGTGAGCATTCATTACATAGAACTTATTGCCTTAATGCTTTGTATCAGTGAATGCCCTTTTTTATTTATCTCATGTACTATGCTCTCCCCGTAATCTTTTAAAGCACCAAAATAATTAGCTGTTACGTAATCCCCATTATCCTATAAATGATGCTAGTGCTGACAGCAGCCCGAGTTAGTGAACTTCTTCGAATCCGAAGCGAAACAATTTCTTGACAAGGTAAGAGGCATCTGCTGGACTAGTTCTTTATGGGTTAAACATAACTGCAACAGGATTCTCAGAGGCAAAGAAAAACAACAAAAACAGATACTTATTTACCTTTGTATCGTTTCTCAAATGCCAATGAAACTTGAGATGTTTTAGAGCGTCGATAAAAACATTCAAGGACTGCTGGCTAATTTTCCACTAAAACATGTTAATGATACGACATTCAGAAAGGATTGCAAATAGATCGGGCCGGAGAAGGAAGTCGACATTTTGTAGGGCACGTGTAAAATATCTAAATATATATATTTCGGGATGCAGCTGGGTCGCAACAAATGGTCCTGGGTCCGAGCCGGTTATAATTCCAAAGTTTCGGCACATGCAGACCACTGGCCGAAGTACTGTTAACGTACCAAGGATGGGAAAAAAATCTGTCGTTCAAAACAAACCTCGCCACGTTGACCTCATACAAAAACAAGCATTAAATTTCGATAGCCTTGAATCCAAGAGATTAATTTCCTCAGCTTTCTAGTAAGATTACAGCTGTTACTGTGGCCGAAGAAATTATCGACACAAGAAATGAGACTACTGCCGCTGGAAAATAAAGTTTAAAGTAAGGACAATTTTCGCTTCCGCCTCTGCTACAGTAACGCTCCTCTGATCACCCTGCATATACGGTCTTCAGGCGCGCACATTCGTCCAGAACACAGCAAAGACGATCAACCAGTAGGTAGGGTCTACGTAGAATATCTCAACCAGCGGGCTGATGCGGCTTCCAATGTGGGAAAGAAAAATACTGACAATTATAGGAACTGTTTGTAACATAATATTAGTAGCATTCTACTCTACTTCAGTCTAGTCTGATATTATGTGTTTCTGTGTGTGGACCGATCAAGATTAGACACCAAGTTTGATGTGACTTCATTTACAGGTAATATGAACCCAAAGGGGAAGGTAGCTCTTGTAACTGGAGCAGCGAGGGGTATAGGACTTGCGATTGCCAAGGAACTTCTTCGAGAGGGAGTGAAGGTATTTTGAATAATAAGAGTTTTAACAACAAAGTGCATAATAAATCTACAGCAAAACTAAGGGCACAGAATTGGGTTAAATCCCTCAGTTATAATGCTCCAAACCTGAGGGAATATTTTAACGAAAGTAAAGGAGCATCTTCACTTAAGAAATATCA